TTTTTTAAAGTCTCCAGCCACATAAATAAAAACTGATTATGTGGAACAGCGATGTCCATTTCCACTACTATAGTCAAAAACTAACATCCAGTCCTTTAAGTGACCTCAAAAAGTACTTGTTGTACCTTTGAGTAATATATAACACGAACAGACAGCAATTCAATAGTACTCACACTGTGTGACTTTACAATGTCAATCAGACACAAAACACAGCCCTGCCTCTTAGAATGGCTACGTAAGCCTTCATAATCAGCCATAAAATCTTTTATCACACCTCCTACATCACCTGATAAATACATAGAGAATGACAACATAATTAAAGCTCTGCATCTATATGAAGCTTGCATTAACTCCTCAGGGTACAATTTTTTGTGGTGGAACTATAAATTTCTACCTTTATCTTACAGCAGTTTCTTCTGAAAACATGAAAAAAAGAAGAAATTGCACAATGTCTCCATCCGCTCCAGAGTGCAGTTATGCTCAAATTAATGTTTACAGAAGAAGAAAGTATACTCAAAAGGTTTTCTTTTCTTTCTATGCTATTCACACATCAATGTGGCAAGAAACAGTCCTATATTCAGTCTTCTTTTTCTAAATTCTCGTTATTTTCTTTCTTCCCCCATTCATTCATTCATTGCTCTATCTCCATCTCCTAGTCTAACTTGTGTCCTGTGTCTCCTTGTATACCAATGACATGTAATGACAATGGCGTAAGCACCGATCGATAGCAGTCTGCTTTTGGACTCCTTGGCCACGGGGGACAGAGGCCAGCGTTGATAGCTGGGTGACAGGGACATTGTAGTGGTGGGACAAGGTGGGTGGGGGGTGGATGTAATTTCTCTGATGAATCTTCATCCTTATCCCACTCACCGGTCATAATGCGTTGATGACAGGCTAATGAGCGCTGCTTATGTTGAAGTGCACACTGTGTGACAGCTGTCTTTTATTCCTGCTATAAAATTGTCCAAGAGCCTCATTTCTCAAACTATAGAGCCCTGTTTATGTGAACTTTGAGGACATTTCCATACAAACCAGATAGCTAGTGTTTACCAGAGATGTACACCTTTAGTCTATAAAAAAGGAAAAATATCCCACCTATTTTACACTGTTGTGTATGTACAACCTGTATGTTTATGTACATGAACTCATCCATCTGAAGTTACCAGTAGCTTTAATGTAGAGTACTGTTGTAGACACACGTAGTAAGGAAGTGATAAACATGAACAACATGGCAAACAACGGGTCTAAAATGTTGATCTCTGTAGAATGAAAAGTTGTCTCATGCTGATGTTAAACTGCTCACAGTATGGTAGTTTGATAGTTGGTTTTTTTAGATCCATTGTATAATATCAAAACTTTCAAAACAGTTTTGGGTTTTTTTTTGTATTAAAACCAGAGAAAACAAACTGTTTTATCCAATCTCTTCAGAACTTGTTTGGGGACAAAAATAACTACATTAAATGTTGATGAGAAAATGACTCTTCTTCTCATATGATTTATTAGGTTGGGAAATATTTTTCTAATGAGTTTATGATATTGATTGCTATTTTCAAGTTTTCTTCAATAAAGCATCCTATTCATGCTGTGAATCGTGGTCTCATTTAGAGTCAAATAAGCATTAAGTCATAGTAGGATTTAGAATTTGACTACCTTTTGATTGACATATCACTACTGCATGGTATCCAGCACCATTGTACCTAAAGTAACTGGGATTGGTGTTAAACATGTGGCACAGTTTTCCAACAAAATTTTCCTAGTGCTTTTCTAATAGAGCAAGGGATTTTCAACATAGCATTTCTAAAAATATTAGTTTTCTTTAGAGAGCATAAATTCTTTCTATTTGCACGAAATGACAGAATTATTTCACTTAAAAAAAAACAACTACCACAGTCAGTGTTATTAGCCCCTCGAGAAACGGACCTTTTTATTGAGCTGTTATGTTCTTTTACTCTGTTATACTCAAAGCTTGTGAAATCAAGTTAAAACTGAGGGATATCTTCCAATTTATACACAGAATAAAAATGCCGAAAACAGAAGACATTCGTTTAGAGAAAAAGAATTGTTGATGCTCGCAAAGCAGGAGATGGATATACAAAGTTATCACAGCATTTCCAAGTTTCAAGAACTGGAGTGAAATGTATCATCAAGAAATTCAGAAAAAGCCACACAGTACAGAAGCAAAAGACTTCAAAGACTCTGTAAAGCAAACTAGTGAGAGATGTGTCTAAAGACCCCAGAACAACAGCCAAGACTGAAGTACGCTAATGGCAACCTGGAGAAAGATTATGCTTACTGGAAGTGCATCCTTTGGTCGGATGAGACAAAACTAGTGCTCTTTGGACACAGACCAGACATGTTGCTTTTATTTGGAGAAAGAAGGAAGAGACACACAACCCAAAGAACATTGTTCACAGTGAAACACGGTGGTGGGTGTATTATGCTGTAGAGATGCTCCTGGAACTGGGAATCTCATCAGGGTGGAAGGAACCACCAACAAGGATACATGAAGATTTGAAAAGAAAACCTCATGCAGGCAGCAACAAAACTGAGTCTGGATGGTCGCTTTGTCTTCCAACATGACAAATGTTTGAAGACTAACATATGTCACTTCTGGTAAAGAACTACCTCCAGAGGACCAAAGTGAAAATTATTGACTGACCTCCTCAAACCCCTGACTTGAATCCCAATAAAAATCTGTTTGTTGAACTGAAGATCAAAGTTTATGACAGAAGACCATCAAATCTGGAGGGATTCGCCAAAGAAGGGTTTTCAAAGAAAAATAAACCTAGGATGTTTGGAAAAGTGTGTAAAGAATTCCTTGCTCTGTCTAACAGCACTTGGGAAATATACATATATATTTTTTTTAAGTTTCATAGGGGGAGCTAATAGCTCTCTCCTCATCTGTAAGTAGTATTTAATTCAAGGTTGTTTAACTAATACCACCATGAATAACGGATGCTTCTCGCTAACCATGTGAGGCAGTGTAAGCATTAGCTGATGAGCACAACCTCTCTTCTCAGCATCAGTTAAGTACTTTGAAATTAATAATAGGTAAATGTTACATAGTTTCACAATCCTGCATTGTACAATACAGTCACAACCTTGTAGGTCAGTTTGCATCTTCACAGATTCAATGTGTTGCACTCAAAGGTGTGCATACACAAAGTTGAGAAATAAGGGTCTTTATTATTTTATAGCTTTTCAACGATCACCCACTGTCCATGAAGCTATAAAAGCAAGTTGATGAAACTATAACTAATGCTGCCATGCAGAGAGAACAGTGAAGGGTATCGTCCATGCAAACAAAGGGAAGCATATGAATGAAGGTGGCACTATGAATGTGATTCAACAGTTTTAGAAAACAAGTCTCAGATTGCCAATTACATCTAAAACAGAAGGACTGAACTGAAGGATGGCTATGGAGGAGGAGCACAGTGGAGGAGGGGGTGGTAGGGTGCTTTCACTCAAAGAAAATAATGTATTTCATTGTGATATTAAAATCAATGACATCGATTGAAAGGTGGCTAAAGGTGAGCGTGTACATGATCCTTTAGCTGTGAGAGGCAAAATGTCCAAAAGGGAGGGAAAGAAAGAGAGACGAGGAAAAGGAGGAGTAGAAGAAGAAGAAAAGAAGGTGGCCAAAGGAAAAAGTCACCTCCTAGTTAACAAAAAGGGGAAAGGGAAGAGGAAAAGAGGAAAAAAGAAAGAAGGAAGAGAGAGAGAGAGGGGGAGGGAGAAAGGAAAAGGAGCGGGGCTCTTGCCCAGTGGAATCAATACAGAGAGGTGGAGCAGAGTACAATAGCCTCAGAGGAGAGGAGATTCAGTGGTGCAGGTCTAATACTCTCTGTCTCACACACACACACACACACACACACACACACACACACACACACACACACACTCTGAATCCTTTTTGCTCTTGCTTTCTCCTGACATTTCCCTCTAT